ATGGTAACGTCATGGTAACGTCATGGTAACGTCATGGTAACGTCATGGTAACGTCATTGTAATATATGTTGTTGTCTATATTTATAGTCACTAACGACACATGGCGTTACCTTCAGACTTGAGGTTTATTGCGGCATCATTCTGGACATCACAGCTGCGGCGGGTCACTCTTGCCTTAGACACAGAACTCATTTCAACACGTCACTACTATGTACAGCTCCGCCCTCTGGCCGGGCCTACTACAGGGTCAGCACCATAGACATATATAGAATAGACGCCGCACATGGATCTATTATAATAACTGGATAGGGTATTACTAGCTTGTAGCTGACTAACTCATGTGCTCAGGGGATTCTCGCGGTACTGCAGACTGAACCAGACTGAACCAGACTAAATTCACGTGGGCTACCCAGAAATTTTCCCCATAGAACTCAATGCATATTAAAACAGCTCAACCTCAGCCGACAGAGAACCTGACAGAGAACCTGACAGAGAACCTGACAGAGAACCTGACAGAGAACCTGACAGAGAACCTGACAGAGAACCTGACAGAGAACCTGACAGAGAACCTACAGAGAACCTGACAGAGAACCTGACAGAGAACCTGACAGAGAACCTACAGAGAACCTGACAGAGAACCTGACAGAGAACCTGGCAGAGAACCTACAGAGAACCTGACAGAGAACCTGACAGAGAACCTACAGAGAACCTGACAGAGAACCTACAGAGAACCTGACAGAGAACCTGACAGAGAACCTACAGAGAACCTGACAGAGAACCTGACAGAGAACCTGACAGAGAACCTGACAGAGAACCTACAGCTTTAATAAAGATAGTATTTTGTGGATGTTAGTGTCCCTTGTCGTCCTGAACTTTTTTTCTTCTTAAATCCTTGGGTTTTGTTTAAATCCACACTTTAGTGCCACAAACTCTGCTCCTCTGGCTCTGGCTCTAACTCCCGCTCTGATGAACTGCTCTGATTGGTCAGAGCCGAGCCCCTCTGTGCACGTGCGTGAGACCCTCTGTGCACGTGCGTGAGCCCCTCTGTGCACGTGTGTGAGACCCTCTGTGCACGTGCATGAGACCCTCTGTGCACGTGCGTGAGCCCCTCTGTGCACGTGCGTGAGACCCTCTGTGCACGTGGGTGAGCCCCTCTGTGCACGTGCGTGAGACCCTCTGTGCACGTGCGTGAGCCCCTCTGTGCACGTGCGTGAGCCCCTCTGTGCACGTGCGTGAGCCCCTCTGTGCACGTGCGTGAGCCCCTCTGTGCACGTGCGTGAGACCCTCCCCTCTGTGCACGTGCGTGAGCCCCTCTGTGCACGTGCGTGAGACCCACACACGTGTTTGGTGCAATGCATTATGGGAGATCATCCACTGCACAGAACCGGGAGGACCAGACGATGCCCAAATACAGGAGAGTTTCCCATAGATCTTTGAGAGTTTCTCATAGATCTTTGAGAGTTTCCCAGAGATCTTTGAGAGTTTCTCATAGATCTTTGAGAGTTTCTCATAGATCTTTGAGAGTTTCCCAAAGATCTTTGAGAGTTTCTCATAGATCTTTGAGAGTTTCTCATAGATCTTTGAGAGTTTCCCAAAGATCTTTGAGAGTTTCTCATAGATCTTTGAGAGTTTCCCAAAGATCTTTGAGAGTTTCTCATAGATCTTTGAGAGTTTCTCATAGATCTTTGAGAGTTTCCCAGAGATCTTTGAGAGTTTCCCATAGATCTTTGAGAGTTTCTCATAGATCTTTGAGAGTTTCCCATAGATCTTTGAGAGTTTCTCATAGATCTTTGAGAGTTTCATAGATCTTTGAGAGTTTCCCATAGATCTTTGAGAGTTTCCCATAGATCTTTGAGAGTTTCTCATAGATCTTTGAGAGTTTCCCATAGATCTTTGAGAGTTTCCCATAGATCTTTGAGAGTTTCTCATAGATCTTTGAGAGTTTCTCATAGATCTTTGAGAGTTTCATAGATCTTTGAGAGTTTCCCATAGACCTTTGAGAGTTTCTCATAGATCTTTGAGAGTTTCCCATAGATCTTTGAGAGTTTCATAGATCTTTGAGAGTTTCTCATAGATCTTTGAGAGTTTCCCATAGATCTTTGAGAGTTTCTCATAGATCTTTGAGAGTTTCTCATAGATCTTTGAGAGTTTCCCATAGATCTTTGAGAGTTTCCCATAGATCTTTGAGAGTTTCCCATAGATCTTTGAGAGTTTCATAGATCTTTGAGAGTTTCTCATAGATCTTTGAGAGTTTCATAGATCTTTGAGAGTTTCATAGATCTTTGAGAGTTTCATAGATCTTTGAGAGTTTCTCATAGATCTTTGAGAGTTTCATAGATCTTTGAGAGTTTCATAGATCTTTGAGAGTTTCTCATAGATCTTTGAGAGTTTCCCATAGATCTTTGAGAGTTTCATAGATCTTTGAGAGTTTCCCATAGATCTTTGAGAGTTTCCCATAGATATTTGAGAGTTTCTCATAGATCTTTGAGAGTTTCATAGATCTTTGAGAGTTTCTCATAGATCTTTGAGAGTTTCCCATAGATCTTTGAGAGTTTCCCATAGATCTTTGAGAGTTTCTCATAGATCTTTGAGAGTTTCTCATAGATCTTTGAGAGTTTCCCATAGATCTTTGAGAGTTTCTCATAGATCTTTGAGAGTTTCTCATAGATCTTTGAGAGTTTCCCATAGATCTTTGAGAGTTTCCCATAGATCTTTGAGAGTTTCTCATAGATCTTTGAGAGTTTCTCATAGATCTTTGAGAGTTTCCCATAGATCTTTGAGAGTTTCTCATAGATCTTTGAGAGTTTCTCATAGATCTTTGAGAGTTTCCCATAGATCTTTGAGAGTTTCCCATAGATCTTTGAGAGTTTCCCATAGATCTTTGAGAGTTTCCCAACGATCTTTGAGAGTTTCTCATAGATCTTTGAGAGTTTCCTATAGATCTTTGAGAGTTTCCCAAAGATCTTTGAGAGTTTCTCATAGATCTTTGAGAGTTTCCCATAGATCTTTGAGAGTTTCCCATGGATCTTTGAGAGTTTCCCATAGATCTTTGAGAGTTTCATAGATCTTTGAGAGTTTCTCATAGATCTTTGAGAGTTTCCCCTAGATCTTTGAGAGTTTCCCATAGATCTTTGAGAGTTTCCCCTAGATCTTTGAGAGTTTCCCATAGATCTTTGAGAGTTTCATAGATCTTTGAGAGTTTCCCCTAGATCTTTGAGAGTTTCCCCTAGATCTTTGAGAGTTTCATAGATCTTTGAGAGTTTCCCATAGATCTTTGAGAGTTTCCCCTAGATCTTTGAGAGTTTCCCCTAGATCTTTGAGAGTTTCATAGATCTTTGAGAGTTTCTCATAGATCTTTGAGAGTTTCTCATAGATCTTTGAGAGTTTCTCATAGATCTTTGAGAGTTTCTCATAGATCTTTGAGAGTTTCCATAGATCTTTGAGAGTTTCTCATAGATCTTTGAGAGTTTCCCATGGATCTTTGAGAGTTTCTCATAGATCTTTGAGAGTTTCCCATAGATCTTTGAGAGTTTCCCATAGATCTTTGAGAGTTTCATAGATCTTTGAGAGTTTCTCATAGATCTTTGAGAGTTTCATAGATCTTTGAGAGTTTCTCATAGATCTTTGAGAGTTTCTCATAGATCTTTGAGAGTTTCATAGATCTTTGAGAGTTTCATAGATCTTTGAGAGTTTCTCATAGATCTTTGAGAGTTTCATAGATCTTTGAGAGTTTCTCATAGATCTTTGAGAGTTTCCCATAGATCTTTGAGAGTTTCTCATAGATCTTTGAGAGTTTCATAGATCTTTGAGAGTTTCCCATAGATCTTTGAGAGTTTCTCATAGATCTTTGAGAGTTTCATAGATCTTTGAGAGTTTCATAGATCTTTGAGAGTTTCTCATAGATCTTTGAGAGTTTCCCATAGATCTTTGAGAGTTTCTCATAGATCTTTGAGAGTTTCATAGATCTTTGAGAGTTTCTCATAGATCTTTGAGAGTTTCATAGATCTTTGAGAGTTTCTCATAGATCTTTGAGAGTTTCCCATAGATCTTTGAGAGTTTCTCATAGATCTTTGAGAGTTTCTCATAGATCTTTGAGAGTTTCATAGATCTTTGAGAGTTTCTCATAGATCTTTGAGAGTTTCTCATAGATCTTTGAGAGTTTCCCATAGATCTTTGAGAGTTTCTCATAGATCTTTGAGAGTTTCTCATAGATCTTTGAGAGTTTCTCATAGATCTTTGAGAGTTTCCCATAGATCTTTGAGAGTTTCTCATAGATCTTTGAGAGTTTCTCATAGATCTTTGAGAGTTTCATAGATCTTTGAGAGTTTCCCATAGATCTTTGAGAGTTTCCCATAGATCTTTGAGAGTTTCCCATAGATCTTTGAGAGTTTCTCATAGATCTTTGAGAGTTTCCCATAGATCTTTGAGAGTTTCTCATAGATCTTTGAGAGTTTCCCATAGATCTTTGAGAGTTTCCCATAGATCTTTGAGAGTTTCCCATAGATCTTTGAGAGTTTCTCATAGATCTTTGAGAGTTTCCCATAGATCTTTGAGAGTTTCCCATAGATCTTTGCGAGTTCCAGGCGAGTTCCACTAATCTTTCAGCCCCCATGCTGTCACAAAGCGCCACTGAGCACAACCATTCATTTGAATAGGGCGCCATCTTGGATCGCCGGGGCTTGATTTCAACACGTCACTACTATGTATAGCTCCGCCCTCTGGCCGGGCCTACTACAGGGTCAGCACTAGATCATATAGAGATATCTCACGTGACGTCACGATGCCTCGAACCATACTGGAGGACAAGCAAACGCTGTATGATGGTGGCGTGCACCCGGGACCGCATTAACATGTTCAACATTGTTGCCGTTTTAGGCTGCAGCAAAAGGAGAGACAGGGAAAATAAGTTGTGTTACCGACTGCAGCCGTCCTTACTTCACACGGCTCAAAAACAGAAGACATCTCAAAGAAACGAGAGAGAAATGGCACAACCATAGAGT